CGTTCTTAGCTAAATAAAATACAATTTTATGACTCATAAAAGTACGGTTTTAACTTCACAGTAAAATTTTCCGAACAATTTCTTTAAGCACTAACATTTTAAAGAACTATTTTCAAAACGCATCACAAGTTCTTTTATTTCCTCTAATAACAAAATTAAAATTATTATTAAGCAAAATATTTACAAATTTTAAATTCAATATAGACAATGGTAAAGTCTTCGTCTGAAATATAAATAAGCTGCTCCAATCTCTTCATTCCCTTGAACGAAGGAGCAAACGGCGGCTTCGAGTGTAAATCAATACGCTTGTCGGCTCCCAAACTAATTAAAACATCTTGCGGATTGTGGCCGTCGTCAAAGCTTTTGTCTTTGCTCTAATTTGTCCTGAATAGCACAAAGCGACCGAAACAGGATGCCCGAGCTTCTGGCTTGGGCTGAGTTCGTTTCAGAGGGTCCTGGGCCGGAACTAAAAGCCAACAATGGAATAAAAAACATGTCATAAACTAGCAGGGCAAGGACTCCACGCTGCGGCTTTGTCCCTCCAAGTTCGGGCTGGAATTATGACAGCCCCTGAAAGAATTGAGTAGGACTGAATGCTTCGTGTCTGTCGCTGTCTGGAACCTGGACAGCCCTATAATTAGGCTCCCCTAACCAGGATTTGAGGATTTTTAATTGAATTAAAGCTTGCGCGAGGAGCGGCCGGGGTTCCCATGCAGTTTGCATTTGGGTTATTACCTTAGGCGCCGCTATCAATATCCTTGAACGCAACGGGTTGTCCTGCCCCGACTTTCGAACCAACAGCCCCTAGGGTTGGGCCTCTAATTGCAGGACATGCTGGGCAATATTTTCGCTTCCATGCAATTAGCTCGCCTATCGCCAACGAGAACCAGCTCAAACAAAGTGCATTCGATGGCATCGAGTTTTCAATCAATTTGATTGAATTGCATGACAAACGGGCGGCACTGGGATAATTATAGTCCTGTTGCCGGCGTAATGATTATGCCAAAGGTAGCATTGAGTTTAGAAGTAGATCGCACGATCCGATTCCGGTGCCCCCCATTGGGAGATATAAAAGGTATGGGAGCGTTTTACTCTTTCCATTGCCACATCAGTGTGTAACTGTCTTGTTGCTGTGAAATACATATTTTCCCCATTAATTTAAATCGAATTTTTGTGCTTTACTACTTTACTCCGTTTTCTATATCCCATAAAATATACTAAGAAATATTTGAAAGGCACACAAGTTTAATTCCGATAAAAAAATATTTTCATTTTAAATATAATTTTTTTTTTTTTTTTTTTTAACATTTGCATTTTATTTATTGGATCTTCTCTGAATTGAGACTAACAATAAGTATATAGAATCTTAAATTAAAAAGCTATCTGACAGTCAAGGTGACTGGCGCGAAAATTTAGGGGCTCTAATAACTATTGCTGAGCTGGAAGGTCATTGCGTTGCAATCGGGTCCGGATGGAAGCCCTGGCTTTTTGTTTTGATATTTCATCTTTTACGGGTAGAATGCCAAGATCTCTGTGGATGTTGTCGTTCCGAACATACCAAGGTGCCCCAGTGATAGTTCTCAGGATTTTTGATTGTGCTCGCTGAATAATGTCGATGTTGCTGCTGCTCGCGTTTCCCCACAATTGGGAGCCGTAGGTCCAGATTGGCTTAAGCGTTGAATTGTAGAGCAATTCATATAATAAATATTAGCTTTTAAATATTGGATAAGCCCTTGTGGTAAAACTGAAAAATTAGTTTTACCTTAAGCTGCAATTACTAGCGATTATAACAGAAAACCAATCTAATTGAAAACTGGCTAGATCCATTTCTTACAACTTTCCAGTTTTCTTATTAATCTTTACATAAACCTGGTTTTTGGATTGCCCACCTACTCTTTGTGTATTCTTGGCCAATCTCAGGCAATGATTTTGAGAAATAATTTATCCCAGAATCCCCTGCCCCAAGACCGAACAACCTACCAAAAGCGGAAGTATGAATAATCCAACAACAAGGTCTATGTAATATCAAGTCGAACTGCAACAATTGAGCCACCCCTCCTAGCCACCCACCCCCCAGGGGTCCCCGCTCTCTACAAGTTGCAAACAGTTTTATTAAGCTGCTGAAGCTCTTGTGTGTTAAAAGTCAATTTTCCAATTTGCAAACTGTCAGAAACATTCGAAAAGCAATTTCTGCCACACAGCGAGTGAAAGAGAGGGCCGCATCTAGCCGAGAGCGAGGGAGAAAGATAGAGAGAGGGGGAGAGAGAGGATAAGAACGCACATTGCGTATACGCCTTGAATGCTGTGTGAGTTACTTCTACATCTATGTGGGGTTATTCCTTCTCCCTTTTTTTTTGGGTGGAACGACACTTTGCGGCAGAAGTTTTCCAATAAAACGGCAAAACTTTGCTGCGAACAAAATTAAAGAAGACGACAAGGAAAATGGTAGAATGACACAGCCAGAGGAAGAGCAAAATGATGATGTTAACAGGGTGGAGGGGGGTTGCAGAAGGGGGTGCTCGGGGGTCGCAAATTGTTTGCTGCCAATGTGAAGTTTATGAAAAAGATTAAAGTTGAAAAGTGGTTGCCTGATGGGCGGGGGGTTCTTGTGGTGAGTCGCGTGCTCCACATGAATGCCAAATTGCTGCAGGCCTGCTCGATAGGTGGGTGTTTGGGTGGGTGGATGGGTGGTTGTGTGTTTGGGTGGGTGGATGGGACCTGTTTGAGGACACAACCGGCTAAATGTAGCAAAATTGAAAATGGCTGAAAATGGGGATGCCTGTGTGTGTGTGAGCCTGTTTGTATTTGTGTCTATGGGGTGGAAAATTGAGTTTGGTCCATGTCATGGCGAGGGGCAGGGGTAGAGTGCTGGGTGGTGGATAATGGGTGGTAGGTGGGTGGCAGGAGCATCAACAGCCAAAGATGAAAGCAGACAATTTTGCCAACTTTCGGGTGGATGAGTGCGGTGTTGGCTAAAGGTCATTATGATGTTTGTGGGCGTGCCAGAGAGAGAGAGCTTTCTCTTTTTCTCTGTTTTGGGTGGTATAGGGGGTTTTCATTATGGCGCGCCATGAATGGAAATTACAAAATTGATTTTGATGATTTAATTAAAATGAAGAAGCACAAACTCAAATTATAACAGCCAGCAAAGGCCCTCTCTTTCTTTCTCCCTCTTTGCCACTCCTTTCCTCTCTTATTGAGTATGTGTGTGTGTGTGTGTGCTTGAGTGTGCGGAGCTGAATGTGGCCTAAAGCTGCTAACTTTAATTTATTTTCTTCGTACAGATTTGAGAGACAGGAAATTAGACTTTCTAAATGGGATTTCAATTTGTTTGAGTAGGGGATGCAAATGGGGAAAGGGAAGCCAGCGGCACGAACCATTTTGTTATTGTTGCCTGTCTGCTCTGCTAATTGATATCCGACAGATATTCAAAGATAATCAAGGAACAACTCTAATTTGAACGGATTTGATTGCCTTTTGATTAGCATGAAATGAGTATCCTAAGTTATAAATAAAATAGGATTTCGAAAGCCAAATAAAAATGTTCGAACATCTTCTTAATAATTTAAACAGTTTATATAGATTCCTATTTTTGAGTTTTCCCAATAATTTTCTTTGTAGATTAATAAAAATAGTTTAGTCTGCCCTTACCACTTACTACTTCATAACTACTTGGATGATTTCAAATTTTATTGAAAAGATGATTTTAACTTTTTAAAAATGTTTTATTTTTTTGTAAATTCTCATTAAACTAAAAAAAAAAGAAAAATATTAGAACATGATTTAAAATCTGTTTGGTGTAGTTCACAATCATTAATTCGAAGAGTTTTATCAATTTGCTTAAATCTTCTTTAACCAATTTGTTAAAAAATGTTTTTTGATAATACAAAGAAATGAGCATAGTTTATAACTAGTTAGGTAAATAACTTTTCAAAGAAGCTCCACCTTCCTTGTCGTAAGCAATTTCAAAATTTTCCCTCTGGCTGCATAGTGTATTTTTAATTAAGCCATTTCAAATTGCATTTTCCGACTGGCAAATTTGTTTTGCAAATCAGTTTCGGGGCAACGAAAATAATTTTACGCACCATTATCTTTAATTAAAGAGCCGCAGAGCGACTGAAACCAGAGCACACAAGCCATCGCACTCGCACACGCAGATGCGCAGATACTTATAGATGGTTGTTTATGTCCTTGTGGCAGGAGCAGCAACCAAAAACAGCAACGACATCAACAACAACAACCTTATTTCATGGTAATGAAATTTCCATCAGAAATAATTTCTTATTAATTTGCGCAAATTGCATTTAATTACTTTGAGCGTGGCAGCAGCAGAAAATGGGAGCTAAGGGGGGTTATAACCAGGCTGGGGGCCATGAAAACTTTCCCTAGATGGCTTTTATAGCCCCCACTTTCTGCCCCGCTCTTTTTTTCTGTGCCACTAATTAGACAGCCACACTAATACACACTCATTGTTGCGATAATTCTAATTAGAGCCAAGGCAACTAATTGAATTTTATTTTATTTCCTTCGTTACTTTAGGTGCTTTTCGCCGTGTGTGTAGGTGAGTTTGTGTGGGGGCTGCTCAGCCATTTTGTTTGCCTCCCTGTCTGTGTGTGGGTGTGAGTGTATGGGTGGGTATATCTGCTGGCATCCCTGTGTAGGTGTGTGTGTGTGCTGGCTTGTGTTTTCATTAACAATTTTGCGTTGGCCGCCATTTTGCTTTTTGTCTTGTGCGGCTCTCTCTTTTGGAGCTCTGGCTCTCTTTTTGTGGAGCTCTTTCCGCTTTTCCCCTCAGCTTCTGCTTTCCGTTTTCTAATTAATCGCTCTGTTCTGCCTCGAAATGAAAATGCCTTCCTAGTTGCTGTTGTTTTTGTTGTTGCTTAATGCCCGATTAAATTAGCGCGTTTCCTGTCAAGTGATTAATTTAATTGCTCCGTGCTCTCTATCCCAGCAACCCAATTAGCTAACCCATCTCTTTACTTCTCATTGCTTTTCTACAGGTGTGGTTCCAGAATCGTCGCGCTAAATGGCGTCGCCAGGAGAAATCGGAGAGTCTTCGCCTGGGTCTGACCCACTTCACCCAACTGCCGCATCGCTTGGGATGCGGTGCCTCCGGACTGCCAGTGGATCCCTGGCTATCGCCGCCGCTGCTGAGTGCCCTGCCAGGTAAGAACTACCCTTTACTCAAGAAAAGTTTATATCAGCAATGACCAATGCATCGTCACTTGAGACCCAAAATCTTTTATAGTTTTACTTGACTCATAGATTTTGATGAGCAATTTAAATTGTTGTATGATTGCAGGAATGCAAATAAAATCATAATTAGGCACATTATTTTCTGACATTACTTAACAAAGTATAGAATCAGTAATTATCAACGCAGACGCATGCATGAGACACTTTAAAAATGATTCCAATATAATTGTTTTAATATTTTAGTTAATAAAATGCAATGATAGCAAAATTGGAACCCCTGTAGGGTTACGGAAAGATTGAAGGACTCTCAACTTAATTTTGATTAATAATATAATTATCTTATGAAAGTTTTTTATTAAATAAAACAAGCTTTTTACTCTCTCTATAGTGAATATAGAAATTATTCAGAAAGGTTTATATTCTTTGTTCTCTTATTAAAAGTCAGCACAAACAAACATACAATTTAAAGTCAGCACTATATGTTTTTCCTCTAATTACTAAAATAATTAAAAACAAAATTACGATTTCCAACAGGAATTTACCCCACACTTTCCTTTTCTTTGCCCGTAGGCTTTCTGTCGCATCCCCAAACGGTGTACCCCAGCTATCTGACGCCGCCGCTGAGTCTGGCGCCCGCCAACCTGACCATGAGCAGCCTGGCGGCCATGGGTCACCACCACGCCCACAACGGACCGCCGCCCCCGCACGTCGGACACGGCGGGCATGGTCAGCCGCAGCCACCGCCACCACCACCGCCGCACGGAGTGCCCCACCCGCATGCCAGCCACCACGTGGTACCGCTGTCGCACCTCTCGCCGCACCTGTCACGCATGTCGCCGCATGCGACGTCCTTGGGCTCGCCCCACCACGGAGTGACCCCCCTCGGCAACCCCCTGCACAGCAGCCTGCCGCCCAGTTCGACGTCAACGACCGTCGCCGTCGCCGCCGCCGTCTCGTCCTCGCAGTCGTCCTCCTCCTCGGCCTCTCTGGAATGCAGTGGCCCGGACATTTGCATGTCGCCCCAAAACCTGAGCATCGGGAATGCCGATTCCAACGGGGATGGACGCGACCTGAGCAGCGACCTTGACGCAGGGAGCACTAGCAGCAATCCGGGCAGCAGCCTGGACAAATGCGCGGCCAGCGCCAACATCGAATTGCTGGACGTGGGGCGGGACAGCCCCCCGCCTCCGCCCACTCCGGCTGGAAAGAGTTCCGCTACCCCGCCGGCGGACATGCGGAGCAACTCGATCGCCACGCTGAGGATCAAGGCCAAGGAGCACCTGGACAACCTGAACAAGGGCATGGTCTCCATTGTCTAGCCCTCGACGGTTCCTAACTAAGTTCAGCTCCAATCAAAAACCCATTCCCCTATATCATCTTCTAGGTGTGTTCTAAGTTTAGTAAATTTCGTGTTGTAAGGACTTATTCTGAAGCAGTTTCTTATATTGTCAACTTAACATGTGCAAAGTGTATTTGTAAAATTTCAATTATTTCAAAGAAAAATGGCTGATGAAGAAGTCTATTCCTAATGCATATTAGCACAAAATAAATATGACAAGTTTTAGCTCAAAGCATTTGTGTTTCTCTTGGGAGGGGCTAAATTACGATACCGTTGTTATATCATATTATATCATCACCATTTAATTTTGAATTTTTACTTATCATAAACAAATATTTCTTTCTTTTTATTTGTTTTTTCTGACAGCAAATCATAAGCAATTTATTAAAAAACGTTAATAAAACAAACAAATTTTTCACTAATTAAGTTTAATTTAAGCTTAATTTTATCAAGTGAACTGCTTTAAAATTGAACTAACCTTCACTACAAAATCCTTGATCTTATTATGTTTTTTTAAAATGTCGATAAATTGTTTTGATATATAATTTGTTCAAAGCACACAAGCGCACAATAAATATGACACGTTTTTATCACAAGATTTCCGAAAGTTTCTGGAAAGGGATTCAATTAGCAGGGGAGCTAATCAGGGAGGTAATCTGAGGGGACCTCAGCCATCAATAACCCAACTTGTCGGGCCAATTATAAGTGCTTATCTGTTCCATTGATCACTTGCTCAAGGCTACTTAATGAGTTGATTAATAAGAAAATCGGGATACATCGAGCAGAAAATGCTGACAAGCAGTAATTAAATGCAATTAAAAACGACTAAATGCACTACAAACAAAGGACTCACATGGGAGGGGGCTGAAACAGGTGCAGTAGCCGCAGTTGGATCTAATAAAGAAACGAATAAAATCATAATTGATTAACGCCGCGGGCAATTAAAATGCAAGCATGTTGCCCACACCAGGGGGTAGTTATATGGTAGCCACAAGTCCTGAGTGTTCGATACAGGACTTTTAGCTACCATATAGCGGTATATGAAAGAAAGGCAAATCCCACATGAGCGTCACAATTCGCTCAAAGGACCTCGGCGCAATGATAATTGCCTGCAATTACATCAGGTGCGCTTATCACACGCACAACATCTAGCCGGAAAATCTCACCCATTTGCATATGAAGCGCAAAACATGGGAATAAAACTCTGCGTTTACACAGAAATTGTCGAGGGAAATGGAAATGGTGGCCACTTAGCAGTAGGTGAGTGTTTAGGACCAGGGCCAGTTTAATAACAATTGCTGATACAAGGTTTTTTTGATAAGTTCAAGGCATGTCATGCCACTAAATAAAAATGATTTAAAAAAATTAAATTATTGAAAAACTGAAAACTTGGATATTATATTTTACGGAAACCATTGAGTTATGTCGGAAAACTCAAAAAGCTCAAGATCAATAAAAAACCAAATTGAACGAAAAAATTATAATTTAAGTAAAAGTAATGTAAGTTATGAGTAAATCCACGGAGATCATTTTGGATTTAAGGTTTCCTAGTGAATTTAATGTAAGATGCTTAAAAAAATCTGAAAAAATTAAAAATTAATTTTAAATTAATTTTAACTTATGCTGTTGACTCTTAAATTATTTTTTGTTTTAGAACAAGGAACTATCAACAAAACAGAATGTGAATAGGGAATAGTACAATAATTAATTGGTTAGATTTCACTAGAAAACTTTGTTGATAGTGAACTCAATATAGGTGCTTAAAAAACTGAGCATAAATTTAACCAATTAGTTCTTGCACTATTTCCTACTCACATTCGGTTTTGCTGATAGTTAATTGTTTCTTGGTTTCATATATGAAAAAATTGTGTTTAAAAATATTTATCATTTGTTAATTATAAAATGATACAAAAAACGAGGACGGAAGCTAACTTCGGAAAGCAGAAGTTTTAATACCCTTGCAGACTTTGACGAAATTGCTAAAAGTGAAAAAGTAGCGAAAGGAATAAGGTATACATAAGTAAACTAGATTTGCATCGTTTCAAGTCAATTGCTTTTATACTGCAAAAATGTCATATACAAATAGAAAAAAAGGGATACTTTCGCAGCCTTTAACAATTTTTCCTATCTCCTTTAAGGTATAGACTTCCGAGCGGCAAGCGCTTTTACCCTAATCAAGATATGCGTAAATAAATAAGAATTGGAAAATTTTATGTTAGTAGCTTACACACTGCGCGAAAAATTCTGATAATCATCAAATTTGGACCGATTTCACCCTATTGTTCCTATGGGAGCTATAGAATATAGACGTCCGATCGGCACGCGCTTTCACCTTGATCAATGTATGCATAAAAAAATAGGATTTGGAAAGATTCATGTCAATAGCTTGTATACTGCGTGAAATATCCTAAAAATCATTAAATTTTAACCGATTTTACCCTTTTGTTCCTATGGGAGCTATAGGATATAGACGTCCGATCGTCACGCGCTTTTACTCTGATCAAGGTACGCATAAAAAAATAAGATTTGGAAAGATTTATGTCAATAGCTTTTACACTGCGCGAAATATCTTCCATTCTTGCAAGTTATATCCGATTGTTCCTATGGGAGCTATAGGATATAGACATCCGATCGGGGCGGTTTTCAAACTTGATCTGCGTACACTTGTTTTAGGACGAGTGTGAAAGTTTCAGATCGCTAGCTTTTAAACTGAGCTCGCAAACGGTATTGAAACAGACGGACAGACGGACAGACGGACGGACGGACAGACGGACAGACGGACATGGCTATATCGACTCCCCTATTGATCCTGATCAAGAATATATATACTTTTAGGGTCGGAAACGTCTCCTTCACTGCGTTACAAACTTCTGACCAAAATTATAATACCCTCTGCAAGGGTATAACAAAATGTATTTAGGCTGCGATAAGTTTAGTACATATAGTCTAAATTATCGATTTGAATCTTTGCTGACACAGTCGCGCCACCTGGGCGGACTGAGGCGGTACCTTTTCCGGTCTGTGTCTCTGCTGCGCGTTTCAGGATTTATTTCCATCGAAGGGGACACCTTACATTTGATGTTTAATCATTTATTAAAGATATTATTGTTTTGTCTAAAAGGCATAAAGCATATATTTGATTCATTCCGTTTTTATACTATTAAATGGCTGCTGTTTAGAACAACAAAATTAAGCTAATAGACATCTGGCGCATGCACTTGGCAAGAAAACACGCCTCACTGCAAAACGAGCCGTATAGAGGGAGCCACACAGTTTATCAAGGTCCTTAATTATTACCATAAATTAGCCTGAGTAAAATTTAATTAAAAACAAAAATTTTATTATTAACCATTTTGTTTTTATTTGAGGTTAATTTTTGGTTAAACCTGTCAATCTGTAAAATTTATGGTTTTCTGAGAGGGAAATTGCATTCGGGCCGGGGCATTGCACTTCCACTGCAGCGTTAAACTAATATACATTTATAGATCACTCATTGATTGAGTGATAGCCACATTGAGAGATGGCCAAGCAATTTCCGAAGGGGAGAAAGATGGAGATCGGCGGCGCATGAATCATCTAGCTAGGCGGATGAATATAAATACCGAAAATACCCCATTGCTGGGGTGTGTAGGTGCCAAGTACTCGCCATATAAGGCATAAATGCCAACCGAGGAATCACATGTGTGCCGCCCTCCTTAAGAAATGGACTTATGGGGCTCACGAAGTGCTGGGGCGGAGGCGGTGACGGACCAAAAATACATTACAAATGAAATAAAACTGTGATGCACGCCAAGTGCAAGACAAAGTCCAACGGAATTGAACTTGAATAAAGAGTGCATGCACACAGACACTCTGGGCGTGACGACCGAAGAAGTCGAATTAAAATTCCCAAATGATTCTGCGAGGGCTTGGGGCTGTTTTTGGAGCAGACAAGCGACAAGTGTTCCACAGCAACAGAAACAGAGAGCGGAGGAGCTCTATAAATAGGAATTGTCAAAAACCACCGAGTCCAAGTCCGAGTGGATACCATTGAAATGATCACACTGATCATGACGATCGTGGTGCTAATGAAGATGCTTTCCCATGGCCATGAGTGGTCCGAGCGGAAGCTGAATGGCCATGGGCCAAACAAAAACTATATATCTTTCTTCCAATTTCTCTGTATCCGCATATCCCATTTGTCTATATCACAATTGTTCCTACTTGAATTAAAAACACATCTCACTCACACACATCGACCAGGGAATATCTTCGATCCTCCCCGAGAAATATCGCATATTGACGACATACAGCTGATCGCGACCGTTTGGTCGATGATGAAAGCGCTGGCGCTATTTTTCTTTTGCTTTTTCATCCTCTAATTTTCTACATTTTTTCAATATATTTTTGTTTTTCCTATGCGCTTGCTGCTTCTATTTCGTGTATATATAAAATAACAACGTTAAAAATAAATCCATCCAAACGAAATGAAACCAGCGGCCAGAACCGATTTATTGAACAACATTTCCCCCGATTATGATTGTTGTTGCTCCAAGTGTGCCAGTGTGCGGGTGCTGCGATACATGGGCGTTAGTGTGCTGCAAACCGACGAGAAATCAGTTTTAGAGCACACCATAAATGTCCGCGTCACTTTTCGTTGTTGTTGCTCTCCTCCCTCGCATAGGTTATAGCCGGAGATATATGCCATCGATTTGGGTGAACCCAAGGCAGCGTCCAAAAATCTGCATAGAAATATATAATATATCTGAGGTGCCATGCCTTCCCATTTACAAATAACATAATACTTTTAATATATATTTTTTTATATTTTTATATTATAGTTTGGGTTTCAAAACTTCCGTTTTTTGGTATTAATAGTAATTTATAAGCAGGACTTAAATTTGCAAATTTTACAGTTTTAAATATTGTACTATAAGTACAAAAAATCTGTGCTAATAGTCATAGAAATAAAAAAAAAAAATTCAGATGTTTATAAATTCTATATTACACAACGTTCAAATTATATATCTATTTATACTTAAGATAATAGACTGAGTTCACTGCGGTGATATTATCAATTTCTTTTTATTCTTGGATGTTAAATTCCGTTAAACAACATTTTTGTAGCATTCAAATTGTGGGTGTTAAGGGCGATAGCTATTTTAAATTTATAATATTAAAATTTCCAGATCTACGGTGATGCAGCCAAAAGCAACA